TCTCCAGTCTAGATCAACGGTTGTACTCTCATTGAATCGCCTTGCCTTGATCATCTATTGAGAACACGGGATTGAATCTTTCATTCGCATCATCATCATCATCATAAACGAACATACTCTCCAGTCTAGATCAACGGTTGTACTCTCATTGAATCGCCTTGCCTTGATCATCTATTGAGAACACGGGATTGAATCTTTCATTCGCATCATCATCATCATCATCATCAAAACGAACATACTCTCCAGTCTAGATCAACGGTTGTACTCTCATTGAATCGCCTTTGCCTTGATCATCTATTGAGAACACGGGATTGAATCTTTCATTCGCATCATCATCATCATCATCATCAACGAACGAACATACTCTCCAGTCTAGATCAACGGTTGTACTCTCATTGAATCGCCTTGCCTTGATCATCTATTGAGAACACGGGATTGAATCTTTCATTCGCATCATCATCATCATCATAAACGAACATACTCTCCAGTCTAGATCAACAGTCGTACTCTCATTGAATCGCCTTGCCTTGATCATCAATTGAGAACACGGGATTGAATCTTTCATTCGCATCATCATCATCATCATAAACGAATATAGTCTCCAGTCTAGATCAACGGTTGTACTCTCATTGAATCGCCTTGCCTTGATCATCTATTGAGAACACGGGATTGAATCTTTCATTCGCATCATCATCATCATCATAAACGAACATACTCTCAGTCTAGATCAACGGTTGTACTCTCATTGAATCGCCTTGCCTTGATCATCTATTGAGAACACGGGATTGAATCTTTCATTCGCATCATCATCATCATCATAAACGAACATACTCTCCAGTCTAGATCAACGGTTGTACTCTCATTGAATCGCCTTGCCTTGATCATCTATTGAGAACACGGGATTGAATCTTTCATTCGCATCATCATCATCACCATAAACGAACATACTCTCCAGTCTAGATCAACGGTTGTACTCTCATTGAATCGCCTTGCCTTGATCATCTATTGAGAACACGGGATTGAATCTTTCATTCGCATCATCATCATCATCATCATCATAAACGAACATACTCTCCAGTCTAGATCAACGGTTGTACTCTCATTGAATCGCCTTGCCTTGATCATCTATTGAGAACACGGGATTGAATCTTTCATTCGCATCATCATCATCACCATAAACGAACATACTCTCCAGTCTAGATCAACGGTTGTACTCTCATTGAATCGCCTTGCCTTGATCATCTATTGAGAACACGGGATTGAATCTTTCATTCGCATCATCATCATCACCATAAACGAACATACTCTCCAGTCTAGATCAACGGTTGTACTCTCATTGAATCGCCTTGCCTTGATCATCTATTGAGAACACGGGATTGAATCTTTCATTCGCATCATCATCATCATCATCATCATCATCATAAACGAACATACTCTCCAGTCTAGATCAACGGTTGTACTCTCATTGAATCGCCTTGCTTGATCATCTATTGAGAACACGGGATTGAATCTTTCATTCGCATCATCATCATCATCATAAACGAACATCTCTCCAGTCTAGATCAACGGTTGTACTCATTGAATCGCCTTGCCTTGATCATCTATTGAGAACACGGGATTGAATCTTCATCATCGCATCATCATCATCATCATAAACGAACATACTCTCCAGTCTAGATCAACGGTTGTACTCTCATTGAATCGCCTTGCCTTGATCATCTATTGAGAACACGGGATTGAATCTTTCATTCGCATCATCATCATCACCATAAACGAACATAAGTCTAGATCAACGGTTGTACTCATTGAATCGCCTTGCCTTGATCATCTATTGAGAACACGGGATTGAATCTTTCATTCGCATCATCATCATCATCATAAACGAACATACTCTCCAGTCTAGATCAACGGTTGTACTCTCATTGAATCGCCTTTGCCTTGATCATCTATTGAGAACACGGGATTGAATCTTTCATTCGCATCATCATCATCATCATCATCATCATCATCATAAACGAACATACTCTCCAGTCTAGATCAACGGTTGTACTCTCATTGAATCGCCTTGCCTTGATCATCTATTGAGAACACGGGATTGAATCTTTCATTCGCATCATCATCATCATCATAAACGAACATACTCTCCAGTCTAGATCAACAGTCGTACTCTCATTGAATCGCCTTGCCTTGATCATCAATTGAGAACACGGGATTGAATCTTTCATTCGCATCATCATCATCATCATAAACGAACATACTCTCCAGTCGAATATAGTCATCCAGTCTAGATCAACGGTTGCATCATCATCATTGAATCGAACATACTTGCCAACGGTTGATCATCTATTGAGAACACGGGATTGAATCTTTCATTCATCATCATCATCATCATCATCAAAACGAACATACTCTCCAGTCTAGATCAACGGTTGTACTCTCATTGAATCGCCTTGCCTTGATCATCTATTGAGAACACGGGATTGAATCTTTCATTCGCATCATCATCATCATCAAAACGAACATACTCTCCAGTCTAGATCAACAGTTGTACTCTCATTGAATCGCCTTGCCTTGATCATCTATTGAGAACACGGGATTGAATCTTTCATTCGCATCATCATCATCATCCATAAACGAACATAGTCTCCAGTCTAGATCAACGGTTGTACTCTCATTGAATCGCCTTGCCTTCATCTATTGAGAACACTTGATTTCATTCGCATCATCATCTATCATCATAAACGAACATTGTCTAGATCAACGGTTGTACTTCAATCGCCTTGCCTTGATCATCATCATCATCATCATCATAAACGAACATACTCCAGTCTAGATCAACGGTTGTACTCTCATTGAATCGCCTTGCCTTGATCATCTATTGAGAACACGGGATTGAATCTTTCATTCGCATCATCATCATCACCATAAACGAACATACTCTCCAGTCTAGATCAACGGTTGTACTCTCATTGAATCGCCTTTGCCTTGATCATCTATTGAGAACACGGGATTGAATCTTTCATTCGCATCATCATCATCACCATAAACGAACATACTCTCCAGTCTAGATCAACGGTTGTACTCTCATTGAATCGCCTTGCCTTGATCATCTATTGAGAACACGGGATTGAATCTTTCATTCGCATCATCATCATCACCATAAACGAACATACTTCCAGTCTAGATCAACGGTTGTACTCTCATTGAATCGCCTTGCCTTGATCATCTATTGAGAACACGGGATTGAATCTTTCATTCATCATCATCATCATCATAAACGAACATACTCTCCAGTCTAGATCAACGGTTGTACTCTCATTGAATCGCCTTGCCTTGATCATCTATTGAGAACACGGGATTGAATCTTTCATTCGCATCATCATCATCATCATCATCAAAACGAACATACTCTCCAGTCTAGATCAACGGTTGTACTCTCATTGAATCGCCTTGCCTTGATCATCTATTGAGAACACGGGATTGAATCTTTCATTCGCATCATCATCATCATCATAAAACGAACATACTCTCCAGTCTAGATCAACGGTTGTACTCTCATTGAATCGCCTTGCCTTGATCATCTATTGAGAACACGGGATTGAATCTTTCATTCGCATCATCATCATCATCATAAACGAACATACTCTCCAGTCTAGATCAACGGTCGTACTCTCATTGAATCGCCTTGCCTTGATCATCTATTGAGAACATGGGATTGAATCTTTCATTTGCATCATCATCATCATAAACGAGCATAGACTCTCCAGTTCAGATCAACGGTAGTACTCTCATTGAATCGCCTTGCCTTGATCATCTATTGGGAACACGGGATTGAATCTTTCATTTGCATCATCATCATCATAAACGAGCATAGACTCTCCAGTTCAGATCAACAGTTGTACTCTCATTGAATCGCCTTGCCTTGATCATCTATTGAGAATACGGGATTGAATCTTTCATTCGCATCCTCACCATGAACGAGCGAAGACTTTCCAGTCCTGATCAACAGTCGTACTCTCATTGAATCACCTTGCCTTGATCATCTATTGAGAACATGGGATTGAATCTTTCATTTGCATCATCATCATCATAAACGAGCATAGACTCTTTAGTTCAGATCAACGGTCGTACTCTCATTGAATCGCCTTGCCTTGATCATCTATTGAGAACACGGGATTGAATCTTTCATTCGTATCATCACCGAACATACACTTTCTCCGTCACTGAACAACGGTTGTACTGTCAGTGATGCTCATTGCCTCGAACGTCTATTGAGACTTACTCCAGACTTCAAGTGGAACTCAGGTATTCGAGCCTTTACTAAAGATGCTGGAAATATGGTTCGTCCCTTTTAGCACTTAAGAAATCACCCTACTCTTACTGATCTGCTCTATTTTTATAATAATTCAAATCGGACAAAAATGAATTAGTACTGCCATATCTGGACTGGAGCTATCAAAAAAAAAATACACGCACACTTTGAAAAAGCATTTACGCGGTAAATAATTATTCTAAAACCCTACGACTCCTTTCCCACAGACGAAACATCACAATTGTCTCGATATTCTATCGGTATTTACATGACTGATCTGTTCCATCAGTTCAGACTTTCACGGCTAAGGTCACCGTCCCTCGTACCCAGAATCGTTATCGGAGATCACCTTTTCCTCGAACATAAGTTCCTTATTGACATTAGATTCGATTCAGATCATCTGGCATTTGATGACAGGTATCACATACAACACTCTTATATCCAGTTATGTGCAATGCGTGATACACGCTTAGACGATCATGTATCTTTCGATATATATTTGAGATAATAATTGTTTTGTGGATACAAGTCTTACTAATAGCTGCAGAGAGAAGTAGACGCTCCATTATTCATACCTTTCCCAAGGATATTTGCACGTAAGTGAATTAACGAACACATCGGGAATTGGAACTCGAGTCACCTATTATCAATTCCGAGCCATTTTGCATTACATCAGCGTACACCCAAGCTTACAACACATGGTAATCCCTAGCGGTCTCTCATCAAGGTACTGACCAGACTCAATGTTGCTTAACTTCGGTGTTCGTACGGCAACCGGTGTTTCAATGAGATGTCACCGTAAGCACACAGCTATGAGTTAAAGTGCATCAGTAAAACGTTATTATCCCCAAAAATATTTTCTGGTTTCAAATAAGCAGCAAAAAGTTCATCGGCCGTAAAAAAACTAATCAGTCAATCACAAGTATTGTCATTCTTTAAATGGACATATATATATATATTGAAACATCATTTTTAGTGGATACTCATATTTGAGTGGACGCTCCATTTATTTATTAAAGAGCATATTTTATTTGTTTTCGTTTACCAACCTGAATATTCAAGAAATCTTATTAAAGAAACACCCTCTGTGGAATCGGTTCGACAGAGCAGTGGTTGACGGGAAGAAGCTGCTCGAGTGGAACTTACTTTTCACCAATGGGATACGGAGGGAATGGGGGTGGTTTGTTACAATGTGAGCAGCATGGGAGGTCAGAACTGGTGAAACCAAGGAATGTAATTCGTCCGAGCACTTTCCATTGAAGTAGCGATAGAGCAGTGAGAGGCTTACCACATCCCGTCTGTGAGGGAGAGGCTCGAGGGTGGGAAATTATTTTGTAACCCACAAGGACTTGGCGACGCTTTGGGATTTTATCGAGATTGAAAGCTCCTGTCCAAATATAACAACAGCACTCCATTTTAGGCTTGATCTTGCTCTGGTAAATGTTGAGGATGGCACGAGGAGCCAGGTACTTACTGAAGCGGTATAAGGAACCACCTTTGTTCAATCACGGCAACGAAACACTATAAAATGCAGTGTACAATTTGCAGTGCTATTACAGAATGGTAGAATTGGAATTCGATTTGGTGCAATATTATCATGCGTTGTAAGGTTACGATTCTGAGCCATAATCCAGTGGATAAAAGCGTTGGTTGGATCCAGTGACTTGACCCAAAGAGTTGTGAGTTCAATACCTGGTTACTACAGTGGTGAAAAAAAAACTTGGGGAGTTGAGTTAAAGGGAGATAACTGAGATATCCGGAAGAGGCGTGACGCGTAGAACTAGAACAATCTACTCCAGTGGACGGCATAAAGGGATCAATTCGAAATCACCTGAAGTAGGCTGGCGCGTACAATGGCCGGAACGTCGCAAATATGGCAATGAAGATGAGGGCAACAGTTCGAACAATGTAAATAATTACAATACCTCAACTCAGAAATATAGACAGAGACATAGATAGATAGATATGAACAGACATATTTTTAAATACCAAGTGTATTGAGCACTTTTTAATACTACTGTTCCCTGGTCTGATTCAACTCTGTTCATATCTATCTTTCTGTCTACATAAAGGTTAATGATCAAACTTAGATAGATAGATAGATAGATAGATATGAACAGACTTAGATAGAATACAGTGTCGATTAACATTTTTGGTCGCACCATTCTGTTGAAAGGACATTTTTGCAATCTGATCTCGCTGTATTTTTTATAAATTGTTTTCTTTGTAATTACATTTCATTGAAAGATTAATTTTTTAAGATCAATTTGTACCTTTTCCATAAACAAAAATGTACCAACTTTAAGAAAAAATTGAAGATCAAAGTAAACAAAACTGAATCCTTGAAAATCATTCTAAAACATTAACCTGGTGCAAACATGCATTTTACACTGCACTACGTTGACTAAATGTTATCAGTGTTATATTTGTGTTGATTTTTGACCACCACATACAGTAGCAGTAGAATGGTCGTGTTTAGCGCCAGAGAGACTCGTAGAGTTCATTCCTCTTGTCTTTCCTCTAGAGTGTCTACCCCAGCAGCGCTAAAGTGCTCAGCCTCTACACTATTTCAATATATAAATAGAGAGAAGGAAAAATTGTTTCTTGTTTAATTCTGTTTGTTTATATCCAATTATACAGATAGACGTAATAGCCATGATTTCTTACATGAAGCTTTATCATTATTAATTTCTGTTAGTTTTTCATTCATCTTTTGGTTTTATTTTATCGCGCCGCTTTTTTTATGACCGGTTAGGCATGCTTCATTAATCAGAAAATTAAAAAAAAAAAAAATAGAGCGTTAGCCGTGATTTGAACTCGTATCGCTTTTGGAAATCCGTCTGATCGAGGCAACGACTTACCGATTACGTAATGAAAGCTAACGAGCAGACATTTACATCGCCTACCTTAGGCAACGTTAAGGTTTGCACTGTCGTATCGCTTCAGAATAAGATTTATTCTGAAATTATCTGAACCTGATTGAACATGGATTTATAACAAATTAAAGGATTTATTTTTAATTCAACATTCTTATTACACCAAACATCATTTTTTAATGAAAACCCGTGTTTGAAATAGACGCTCCGTTTTTTGCTTTCTTTTTTTTTTTCATTATTTTAAGGAGTGTGTATTACGTCTGTTGACCTGTGCACTTGAGTTTTCTCAAGTAAGCAGATCTATAGATATAATACATTCTGTTTAAAATAAAAAAAACAAGGGCGTCTATTTCAAACACAGATAACCACTAAAATAATACTTGAATTAATAAAAACATTGATGTATCCAATTTTCCATCTGAAAAACTTAAGTCTGATTTTTGTGTTGTCGTAATGTAGCAGGGCAAAAATCCAAAAATAATTTGATACAGATTGTGCATAAACTGAATAATGAGTTCGATCCTCACTGTGATCCATACTTTCGGTTTTATGCCACATCTAAGTTACGCTTATTAAATTGCCATATTGTGTGTGATACTGGGTTTTACATTCCAAAACTAGCTATTATTTTAGCGTATTCCTATTCTCAGCATGGTAAGAAAACTTCATTTTAGTACTTAGGATAAAACTTTAAGCCTTTATAGATTCATTTCCATAATCTCTCGTTTGGTCATAGCGATAACACCTACGAATTCTTCTGATTTAAAGTATTTCTAATAAATAAAAGTTAACATAGCTTCTAAATCAACGCCTTAAAGCCATCCTAAAATATTACTACGCCACTGTGGTCGCCAGTGATACGAGTAAGTCTAGAAAAACTATATCTTAATGGCGTCAACTGTGGTTATCAAGTTGTAAGTGAACGTAAAGCTAGCTGATCCGGATGTTATCGACACCGACGTATTTTGTTTCTTTCCGACGTCAACCAGAAACAATGAGGAAGAAAAGGCACATTATTTTCTTGTTTGTTTGTATATATAGAATCTCAAACGATCTTTCTTTTTCTCATCTGAACCATATCCCATGGGCAGTAAATACAGAAAACAGTGTCACCTGGTAATAGACTTAATTCGATAAATCTGATATTTGCAGTGTTCAACAGGTAGATGCAGGAAATGCGATTGGGAGAGGTATATTCGAAATTTACCTTACACCAGAGCCTGCCTCAAGTGAGAGGGTACAAAAGAATAGGTATCAGATATGACACTTGCAGTCATCCGCTGGGCAAGACTGTCTGTTGTCTCCTGATAGATCACTGATTAAAGGCAATTTCCCCACCCCCAATCTTGATTGTGAGATAAGCCGGCCTAATCGGTGTGATCTTACGTGTGTTCCTGAGTTCGGCTAAGTCAACCTTGAATCCTGCACTCAATGTCCCTCAATAGCGCCGAAATAAAAGCATTGATACCCATAGGTTACAAAGTTATAGAAGGCGTGCTTCAATCTCTGACAATCAGAAAGTTATACAATTAATGATTCAGTATTTCAAGCTTTTTGCTTCTTTTATTTTTAATGTTGCTATACTTATTATTTTAAAAACATTTGGATATGTAAATTCTTTCATAATTTTTATTTTGTTAATTTATAGCTAAGCTTGTTGACTGAATCTGTGCGTTGTAAGAAGGTATGAATAAATTTTAAAATATATATAAAATATTTCCGGCAGATATTTCAATTTCGTACAGGATTTTTTTTAGTAACAAAGAAAAAAGTACTGAGCTGCTACGTGACATCTGTCTTCTTCTACGGCAGCGAATGTTGGACGGTCTATTCAAAGATGAAGAAGAAATTCTAGACAACGGAAGTATGGTTCTACAGAAGGATACTAAGGATATCATGGACCGAGCGTGAGAGCAACGATGAGGATTGAGAGAGGATGGAAACAAGAAGGAAGCTTACACTTAACATCAAGATGCAGCTCAAATTTCTGGGACACATAATGAGAAAGGATGGATTGGAGAATCTGATACTCAGAAGTCGAATAGAGGGAAAGAGGGACAAGAGAAAGCAACGCATGACATACCTATCGGGCTTAAACAAGTAGATGACAGAACATGGCCTAGGGGAAGTAGCAAAAGGACAATTTATTGAGAGTTACAAGGGATAGTGGGGAGTTGAGAGCCATGATCGCCTACGTTCTGAAAGGACTCAGCACATAAAAAGAAAGTAAGTATTGGTAGGAGTTTGCTTCTTTCTCAACAAATAACGCTAAAGTAAAAAAAAACAAAAAAAACAGTACAGTCCTTATAATAATAGTCGTACAATTTTTGTGTATAATACGACTATTATTAAAAATTTCTTAAATCTTTCACAACATAAGTATCATTTACATTATCGAGGACCATAAAATATTAAGGTCTCTTGCTTTAGAAATTAATTGAAGATGACATTATTATATTTTTAAGTGATTTTTGTTGAATTCAGTGAGAATATTCCATCAAACTTCAAGTTGATAAACAAATACGTAAATATGTTGAATATATTAAACCATTAAACACAAAAGTTTTCGATTGGGAAATGAAAAAGGTTTCTTCGTCGATGTTCTCGCTTGATAATGAAACGTATTTAATGAATTTTCAATGTTCTCCCTTTAACTAGCAATACGCTTTACATGAAAAAGACAATACGTCATAAAAAGGAAACGCTTATAATAGTAATTGTAACTGTAATATTAACCGTTTCTTTATGAGGATATATTCGGCATTCATTGACCGAGTAGCCAGTACTATTTTCGGTTGTAATCTGTAAAATTTTTCTATGAAAAATATTTCTGTATATTTTATCAAAAGGCAAACATCTACCTGCGCAGTAAATTAAAGTGCTCAATGGCTAGGCTAACTAGGCAGAGCAACAAAAAAAAAAAC